TTGGGTTTTTGTTGGTTTTGTTTGGGTTTGGTTTTTTTTTAAGAATTGAAAGAAGCCATATTCTGACCAAGTAAAAAAGACTTTTCAAATGTAAATACCAGTTACTAGTAGCATGATTTTGTGAGAATTACGTATCATTTTGTTAATAGCCATAACAGCGGAATTGAGGGGGACTGGCTTTCTAGCTTCTCCAGAGTATCTGGCTGAGCTTTTGCACTGCAGCTTTTGCCGTGACATTCGAGATAGTATCTCCCAGTGTAAAATTCAGAGATGACTACAATCAAATACCTTTGTTTACATGCTAGCTATACACTTTTTTCAGTAGTTAATGTTAAAGAAAGTGAACATTTCCCTTTCTACTTAGGTAATACTTAGGCATCAAAAATTGTTTCCCCCCCCATTACGTACTACTGTTGTGTATAATTACCCATTCAGGAGGCAGAGAGAAGGTGATCCTCAGCCTCTAAGCTAAGAGTAGCAAGAAGGAAAAGTAAGTTTCTTACACAAAACTTGTGGCTAGTCTGAAGTACTGCCATTCCTCAAGATACTAATGAGATTTCTTTACCTATCCATCAGGTGGATGTACTGGAATCTCAGTTCTCACAGCTTCTGCAGCAGATAAATGCCACACGAGATTTTGAGAGTATACGATTGGCTCATGATCATTTCTTAAGTAATCTGTTGGCTCAGTCTTTCATCCTCCTAAAACCTGTAAGTAGGTCTTGTTTTCACCTTTTCCTCCAAATTCTCCAACTGCCCTTTTTGAACAGGTATGACAAACCATATCTTAAAACAAATTGGTCATAATATCCTGCAGAGTACAGACTACAATTCTAGGAATAAAGCAGGTATAAACTAGAACAGATAATTGAATTAAGATCGCTTAATTTACAGTTGGTGAGTGTGGATGCTGCATTCCTGGCAATTTTAAATCAAGATTATTCCAGTGTTCAGTTAACCTTATTAACTTAAATTTTGTTGCTCACAGGCAATTTTATTAAAGAAGTACTAATTAGTGTAGTGCTGGGAACTGTATTCCTGGGGACTCATTCTGAAATGCATTAGATTAGGAAAAATTCCCTCTCTTACATACACTTAGAGGATAAAAATAGTTGAGATGTTACTGACTGGACTTTAAGGGTGTTTTTTGTTGTTGTTGTTTTAGTCAAAAATATGTTACAGTGTTGTGGGTGTTTTTATTAAACATGTAGCCTCACAAAAACATTCCCAAAGAAGGTTGGTGTCAATGAAACACGGTGATACCACAGGTCTTGTCTGTTTCACTATTTTTCTCAGTCTATGAGGCTATAGCATAAAGGTGGCAGAATACTAATTACCCCATATGGAACTTTTAAGTGTTCCAGTAGTTATGTCTGTGAGGCATTTGGGCTTTCCTAACACTCCTAAATGCAAGTTACCTTGACCAAAATTCCAAGTTTTGTGAACAGTGAAACCAAGGCCTTGAACCACAGGTCTTGCTGTTCTTTATTCTTCCTTCTCAATCCCAAAGCTGCAATGATGGCCTGCTGGTTGCATAGGGAAGCCGATGCTCAACTTCTGTGCCTATGTGGATGGCTCGTGCCAGTCGCCATTTCCCCACTAATGTCTGCAAAAGGTTGGGGGTGGGGGGAAAAGATGCGGCATCATAACGTTTAAGTCCTTTTTCTGTAGAAAACCTTATGAAAATGCTACAGGTGCTTTAATGTCTTCCCTACTAATTGAAAAACATGGTATCGGCAACATCTTGATTATGAATGCTGCAACTTTTCAGGTACTAAGAACAGCTTTCTCTGGGTTTGAGCTCTGTTTAAACTACTATCTTGTACTTCTATCCCATGCAGGTTTTCCACTGCTTAAATGAAATTCTGGATCTTTGTCACAGTTTTTGTTCTCTGGTCAGTCAGAACCTGGGCCCATTAGATGAACGGGGAGCTGCACAACTCAGTATTTTGGTGAAGGTGAATCTGTGTTTATATGGACCTATTCTTCTCCCATGCAAACATTTGCTTAAGCAGTCATCGTGGCTTTAACAGCTATAGAGCAGGAGTGAGTTTAAGCTGAGACCTTCTATATGAGTGCTTGCAATGATTTTAATTAATCAACTGTTCCGAGTCAGAAATTCTATGTGCACAGAGAGAAGGAATGTGGGCAGATATGCAGAAATTACCCTATTGGAATAGAAAGGAGGTGGATATCAGCTTGTGCCTCTACCCCTCCTTTTGGATACCTAACACCTAATAATTCTCGTGGCTGACAGCTTACCTTATACTGGACCACACGCGTCACTTCTGTTGCAGTGATTCTTTTCTTCAGGCTGTTAAAGGATTGTTTAGGCAGGAACAGAGATGAAAAGCTTGCTTTCGCTCTTGAGAGTGCCAGAACTGACTTCTTCTAATTTGTAGGGATTCAGTCGTCAATCATCACTTCTCTTCAAGATTCTCTCTAGCGTTCGCAACCATCAGATAAACTCTGACTTAGCTCAACTGCTGCTACGCTTGGATTATAACAAATACTACACCCAGGCTGGAGGAACTTTAGGCAGGTAGGAATATCTTCAGGTTGCTTGTAGCGCTATCCTGAGGTAACTTTAAGTACAAAGTGATCTAAATGATCGTAAGTAATTTTTATTGATTGCGTAAGCCAAAATAATTAGAAGTAAAGTCTTGCTAAATACCATGACAGAAAAGTAACAAACCAGCATGAGTTAATTTTTGGTTTTCATACGCTTTCTCCTCTTCAGGTTTGTTTTGCATGAAGTTGAACTAGCTGCTAGCTCATATTGGCTGAAAAATGCTGATGTGGGTTGATAAAGGGCGTTCCTTTCAACATGTAGTTAATATTGTACCCTTTTCTTGCAGTTTTGGGGTTTAAGCACTAAGACCTGGTCATCAGGCTGTGACCAATAACACATCAAGCAGTGGAGACTGGTGCTCTTGGAGAGTTTGCACACAACCGAATTTTTCTTTGTAGCTGGCTCTTGCCTGGTGAACCACTGTTTCAGAAGGAATTGGCAGGAAGTGCCACTTATATGAGGCTGCCCAGTGACTGCAGAAAGCTACTCCATTTTTTCTGAACTAGTAGAAAACCCATGCTTTCTGCAGCCCTGCATAAAACTTATAAATGCTTCTAGGAGGCAGTCTGTGCCTCTTCAGAAAGTGAAAAAGCAACAAGGATTATGATGCCTTGACTCTTCAGCTGGACTATGATCCCTTGCAAGTTGGGAGTATGGAGGAAGTAGTCTATTGTTCTTGACTATGAATGAAGCTTTGCCTGTATTCAGAAGTTCCACTTGTACAGTAAACTGATCTACAGCACACAGTCTCTGCTAATCAAATCCATACCTCCAGGTAAATGAAACAACTGCAATAGCAGTTTGAGGTAAAGGGGGAGGGAAGAAGGAATAGATTTTAAGAATCTCTTCTCATACAGTGCACTGTTCTAGCATAGCTGTATAGGCAAAGGAGCCACTAGTGGTCTCACATGCTTTCTCTATGAAAATATATTTTGTGTGCTAAAATTACGCACATCAAGACAGAAGTAGGAGCTTTGCCCTATTCAAAGTACAAAGCTCCCTCTCCTGGCATAGAAGTGCGCTAGAACTAAAACTAAGGAGAAACTTAACTAGGATGCCAGCTCTAAATGTACTGTTTTAATTCAAGACTATTTAGAATGCTACTAGTGACTATCCTACTGCACTGAAATAAAACCATCTTGTCATGCAATTATGTGGAATATTGTCAATGTCTGCACCCAAGTGCAAAGGGACTAGAGTGGCACAGCATCCTATTTCAATGAAAAGCAGTATCTTGCAGGAACTTCTTGCATGTTACTAAGCCTCCCTGGCCTTGTGATAACAGACAATCTTGGATAAATGGCAGAAGAGAGCCCTCCAGTCTGTCACTGGGGTGTGGTATCAGGTTTCCCAATTGGAACACAAAGGCTGCCAGGAAATCAGCCTTCCCCTCAAAGGGTTGGTATTTTTAGTGTCCAAAGCTGCAGATCTCAAGAAAGTTACATTTCTTTGGGGGAGGGGGACAGGGGAAGGTCTCTGCACTCACTCAGGAAGACACAGTAACAACAGACAGCAAGTAGAAGGCCTGGCATCTTCAATGCACTACAGCCGTTCATGGCAGGACTATGCCTGATGCAAAGTTTAAAAGCCTGTGACCGTGAAAAAAGCTAGAAAACTGGAGAGGGGGTGTTGAAGTTTGGATGTGGGATTTACAGACTAACACAGTCAGAAGGTGACTGAACACGGACATTATAGCAGAAAAAAACAGCATAAAGAAAAACTTGGGCTTTTGAAGCAGGGGCCTAAAGACTGTATGAGCCTGGGCTGAGTATCCCTCTGGCCTATAGCATTGCTAGAGTGAAGAGCTCTCAAACTCAGCTTTTGCCTTTATGCCAGTTGACTGCTAAGATAAGGTGCCTGCCTGGCTGTGCATGCAGCAGCTCAGAAGCAGATAATTTAGCCAATTACCATTTAAACAAAGATACACAGCACGCACTTACATACGCTTTGTACCTCAGTCTCCCAGCAGTTTAGTTGTCCTAGGTCTCTGTGTCTATATCTCTACTTACGTAGTGCCAGTCTGCACTAAGGCAGGTTAATACCTATATAGTCACAACAGGGAAAAAAAGAGAGGTAGCTGAAACAAAATGGCAGTTTGTCCTAGAAATTCTTACCAGTCACTTCAGCAACATCTTGATGAAATTAATGGAAAATACCAACATCAGGCTGGAGGAGTACACAACATACCATTCTTCCAACAAACAGAAGTGCTGCTGCTGCCACCCTGAACTTGGTCATAGGGTATTCACTTCTGCAAGTAAAGGCTGCCAGTTGAGAACACCTTTCCCTTCCTTGGTAATTGACTTTGCGCTGAGGTCAGCCTTTACTGAAAGTAGAATATTAATGTAAGCATTTCTTTTCTCTCTGCCCTCCTTCTCTGGAGGCACGACCCTGGAATAAGTTTAGAGAAATGAGGAGTCACAGCAGCTAGCACAAGAGATTGAACATTTATTTCATCATAAAAGTCCAGCAGATAAAACTATATACAGTATTCCATGCACACTGTCCAATTACACAAACATTTAAAACCTGATTAAAACACAGTCTGCACAACAGTGGGACAGCAGGGCAAAGTTTTAGTTTAGTGGGGGACATAGTCATGTTTATATTTTGGATGCTTGTTGTAGCCTACTCTCTCCCCAGCAATAAGGCTCTGGATCACCCACTCTTGCGAGACAACAGGCAGCCGTAAAGCTTCTGCACACTTCAAGACACCAGCTGGGCAGGAGAAATCAGTCACCACCACATCATAAACACCCAAAGCAATATCTGCACAGGAGGAAAGACAGGTATCTGTCAGGTGAAAAAAAGAAAAAGGATCTCTGCAGCAGCAGATCAGCGTGTTTCACCACTATGAATCTCTATTCCATGTCCTCTCTTTCCTAGCCAGTGAATTCTAAGACATGCTCTACAGCAACACTGCATCTTGCAAGTAAAATATTCCCTCTATCCAGATAGAAATTAACAGAAAACCAGTAGCCAATGTTACAGGCCGGACTAGATAACCATGAGCCCTGACCTCAGGCTGTGAGTGCCAGGGCCTACATCCCATATGGAGAGGGAGAGACAGCTGAGTTCAGAAGGACAAGGATGCACAATTTTAGCGGCCGACAGAAGGCCCAGGAGCAACTCTTGCCTATTTTTCACTTTCAACATAGGCTGAAAGCTGATGGCTTGTGTCCTGGAATTGCTGCAACCATCGTCTTCTCTGGCGTAATCTTCTAGACTACATTCAAGCAGAGAGCTAGTGTCTGCACTTTGCCTTCCTTTATGCTTATAGACAACCTTGTAAGCCATCCTAAATGCTTTTAAACCATACTTTAGACCACAGTGGCATGGTATTCCCAGCTACTAGGCCTGAGAAATTGGTCAATGAGTACCTTTGTTGTGAGCATTTGAGTAATGCTGTTTAACAGATGCTGCTCCCCCTGTCATGAGGATTTCAGACCACAGATCCAGGAAGTTCTGCTGCTGGTCTGACACCAGGAGAACCTTCAGGTTATGGAATGGGTTTTCTCGTGGGTGCCTGTAGAATAAAGAAGAGAAAGGCAGACTGCTAAGAATATCTAGTAGTCTGAGACTTTATTTGAGGACCATTATCTACTTCTAGTCACCTGGTTGGCTCCCATATTGGTCCTTTGAATATCTTGCATACAACGACCTGCTCTCTTACCACCCCTCCTGAAATACTTGGAACAATTATCCTCTGTTTATAGATAGTAAAACAGAGCTAGAGAACATTGGTGGGGTGTGTAAATCCAAAGTTAGGCTAAGCTCCTCCTCAATCCTGAACCATCTTTTCTGTGCAGATGCAAAATGCCTCCGCTTTGAAAGGGCTCAGCAGGCAGGCATCAGTCTCCTGCCCACAGAGATTTACAAACTGTTTTTGTTTTCCCTTCACCTTGCCTGAGGAGGTGTCTGACCTGACAATTGTTCTCTCAGAACAGACCTACCAGATTAGACTCCATAGAATATGCAGAAGCTGGCTTCAAAACATACCAAAGGAAAAGGAAATTGCAGTAGTATTGCTCTCTTTTATCCATTTCTGAGCAATTAGAGAAGTCGGCCAGGTGTGTGGGAAGCCTTGCCTGAATTCAGTCTTCCTCATGAGGAGACTGACATCTTTCTTACTTCCCAGGAGACTGTCTTTTTTATGTATATGGCACCCAAATGTACCCTGGTGTTAGAGGTCACTGTAAATCCAAGGAAAGAGATGCAGTGCTGTTCCTATATGCAAGGGAAAGCATGGGGAGCAGTACTAGGAACATTGTCAGTACCTGTAGTATTCAAGAGCCTCCCAACTGTAACAATTCTCTCTCATTAAATCCTCAGCCTGTGGACTCAGATCATGGTTATTTAGCACTTACCATTCTAGCAATTTTTGCTCCTGGAGGCTATAACCAGCTGGCAAAAGGTAATTCCGATAATTTTGAAGCTGGTTAGCATGACAGCTATCATGGACCCAGATATGAGACACACAAGGGATCCCTCTGGCAAGGCACAGCAAGTATTTCCGAGTTCGACAATGCTGGTCCGCAATTAAAAGACACTGATATGCTGCATTACACTTAAAGAGAGATAAAAAGACATGTAAACAGGAGACAGTGCAAAAAAACCCAGAAGTTATCCTGCTGCTAAACACTTTAAAGAAGAAAACAAATGAAACCCTGATTTTCACAGCCATATTACGTGAAAGGTGAACTAGATAAACAGATTCTGAAATTAGGAGTACCTATAATAAGCACCTATTCTAAGCCATGCAGTTCACAGGCAAAAACTCTGCCTAGTAGTTTTTGTATCATAACCATATCTTCCAGTTCAGACAAAGGAGAAGATTCACCTTTTAGTTTAAGACTCAGTAAGTCACTAGAGAAGACTCTGCATCCTCAGGCAAGATGCTCCAAGAACAATTTACCCCCTCTATTAAAAATCTAAATTTAAGTAAAAGCGACACTAAATGAAATTAGTTGTCCAAGTAGATCTGGTAAGTGAAGAGTGAGGAGCTCTACCTCTAAGCGTTCTGAGGCACAGACCTGATGTAAGACCACATCTGGAGTATTGCATCCACTCCTAGGTTCTGCAGTACAACAAAACCACAAGACGTACTGGAGCAGGCCCAGCCAAGGGCCGCTAAGATATCTAGGCATTGGAGCATCTGACATACAAGAAGAGGCTAAGAGAGCCTCAGCTTGTTTAAGCTCAAGAAGGGAAGGCTTGGGTGGTCTTATCAATGCATATTCATGACTGATAGGAGGGTGTACAAAAGATGGAGCCAGACTCTTCTCAGTGTTATCCACTAAAAGGACAAGAAGCAACAGGTACAAATTGAAATACAGGAAATTCTTTTTTTTTTTTTTTTTAAAAAAAGGGGGTGGTCAAACATGGGATCAAGTTGCCCAGATACGTTGTGGAGTTTCCATCCTTGAGGATACTCAAAACCCAAGTGGATAAGGACCTAAGCAATCTGCTCTATTTCATCCAGCTTTCAGCAGGGCGCTTGGACAAGATGAGCTATAGAAATTCCTTCCAATCACAACTATTCTGTGACTATTGTTGTAGATTAGTAAGCGAGCCCTTACCTGGGTTTCATTGAAGTCTTCCAGGATATAGCCAGCTCCTGCTCGCAGCTGCTGTGCTATGTAATGTTTGTCATACGGAGTCATCTCTAAAAATTCTAGAGCAGAAACAGAAAGTTCAATTTTTGGCTATAATCTATCTGCTTATGTCCATACACTCCTCAGTCTAGAGAGTGCTCATATCCATTCCAGTAAGGGACCCCAACCTTTCTCCCAAGAATATCTAGAGAAAACCCTTGGAAGAGTCACAAAAAAAAAAAAAAAAAAAAAAAAGAGCACAGAAAGAGAAGCACAGCACTGGCCAAACTAGCCAAGTGAGCACCTTGTCACTTTTTTCATGCTGCAGTTCATTGCATGAAACACACCCCTAGCAAAGGCAAACTGGAGCAACCCATTCATGCTTTCGAGTCCTATGTTTCCCAGCACTATCCCTTATCTCTCAAAACCTTCCTTCTCATATTATACTGAGACTGCTGTTCTTGCTAATTTTCACACCTTTCTTAACTTGCTGAATAGCCCTATGATCATCATTGAGGTTTGACACATTTCGGGCTGTAAATTCTCTAAAGCAAAGACTGAGTCTTAGGTCCTTTCTGCAAAGGATTAAAGAGCAAAAGGGTAAAACAAGCACTCACACAAATACCTGATCAGACAACATCCAGAGTTTTTCCTAAAGCCACAGCATTCCACTTGGAAATGGAATGGGTAAGATTTGCCTCACCTTCTTCCTCCTCACTGCTCCCTGTGGGACCATCTGATGGCTTCTGGTGATTGACCAATTTGTCACTGGGTGTTGCCATGGTGAGGAGAAAGGCATAGCCCAAAAAGAGGGTCTTATTTTGGGGGAAGGGTCCGTGATGGTCTTCCAGTACCGGGGGATCTACAGCATCTACACCTTCACAGGTGCTTACAAACTCTCCGGCTCTCACAGCCCCTGCAGAGAGACAGAAGCACTGTAAGTCTCAAAAGTCAGGTTCAGCACAAAGACCCTGGGTAAGATTTGGGATATGTTCAACTTCAGTTATTTTACTGGAGGAGGCAGAGGGAGGCAGGATAGGGTTAAGATTACACTAGGATAGGTAGGGATCTTTTACCCTTCTGGTTGCAAAGAATCTTCAAATCAAAACCTGAGTGACTAATGGGACAATGTTTGCCAGTCCATCAACATCCTGAAACAACACTGCTCTGAAGGGTCCCTTTAACAGCTAGGCATTTCAGGACTGACTAAACAGATAAGAGTAAGAAAGGAGAGAGGCAAATCACAACATTAAGGTAAGAACATTTCTAAAATGCAGAACTGAAAAGATAGCAGGTAAGTAAGTACTCGGCCTATGCTAAAAATATCTCTGGCTGCTGAATGCATCCAGGGAGAATCAGTCTCAAATCCTGCAGGGCAAACAAGCAATCTCATCTACTTTTTGCTTATGGGAAGTGGAAAGATTAATTACAGAAATACCAGGGAGGAAAAAAAATAGCTGAATGCAAATTTAAGAGCAGAAAATAAGGTTCTCACCAGGTTTTATCATTGCTGACTTGCGGCCACGTTTAGCTGGGGATCTCTCATCTTCAGAAGCAACAAGTTTCCTTTTCCCAGACAGTGTGCCTGGTGGGATGCGTGGACTCTCCTGCCCTTTACGAGTGGGAGTTGTGCTGCTGCTGGAAGTGCTGGGAGAACCAAGGTTACTACGTCGTTTCCGCTTCCCCTCCACAAGATTATCTGTAATATAGTACGCAGAGATTAGTCACTGGCTGTCACCTAACTCCACGAGCTTTCACCCCACCCATATGTACAGAGGTGGCTAAACTCAATAGTACCTAGAAGGCATACACTACCACCCTCTGACACAGAAGAGCAAGAAAAAAATCTCTCACTTGTGTATCTTTCTTCTCAAGCCCTGTACCCCACCCGTCTCTTTTCCTCCCAGCACTGCTGAAGAGTTTGTATCATAGCAGCCATCCATGTGTAAATGAGTACAGCAAGCATCGCTGTCCTAGAAGCAGGCCACTCTCCACAAACCAGTCAATACCACTAAGTCTGAGCGAGACATGAAACAGGAAAAGCATCTCAAAGATCCCATTATAAAGTACCAAAAGCATTGTTGAATACCCAGAAAGATTTAAACATGGGTAATTCAGGTCAGGAACTAGAAGCATCTCAAAGGCACAAGATGCAGAACAGCACAGCCAGCAGCTCAACAGCACCTCCCCTTACCAAGACTGATGTCAGCTGCTTTGGTCAGGGGGGTGACAGGTTCATAAGGACCTAGCCCAAACTGCTCCCGGAGCTTATTTCCTTGTTCCAGGGACAGGATAACAGCCATTCGTTTGTACCATTTCCTCTGGCCTTCCTTTTCAATGCAATAGTATAGCTCTCCAGACTCCTTCCGGTGTCCCTTCACCACACCTGACAAGACAGCAAATAACACCTGTTAACCAACTATACCCAGACTTGTCATCCTCCTGAACAAGCACCCATCTCCCATTGCATTCAGCAACTCAGAAAAGTCAAGGATGGAGCTCAAGCACTGCTCTTACCTGCACTGAAGTACTCATCTTCTGAGAGTGCGGTCACCTCAGTCTCCAGCGGGATAGGATCACAGAGTAAAATATCTTTTCCTAGCACATCACATTCATATCCATCATCAAAGAGCAGCTTGTACTTTCCTGCTCCAACATCTTGGGTAATCATCCCGGAATAGAAGTACCCATTTGAGGACCACTTTGCTACAACCCTGAGGCCCACAAAGCTGTTCCCAGAGGATGAGTCTGCACAGTCCGAAGGACCAGTCACCACTTGTAATGGGATTTCTGGAGAGTCACTTCGACGTAAGGCACAGAAGCCAGAAGTGTCAGATTTCTCCCCTCCCTCTGGCAGGCGAACTGAACGAGCAAATGATTTCTCCTCAGGTGATGCTGTAGTTGAGAGATCCTCCACACCTGGCAGTCCAGCTAAATCTCTGTAGAAAAGAGAAAAGCAGTCCCAGAAGGCAAGAAAGAGAAAAGCACTCCCAGAAGGATCAGGAAGAACAGTTACTAAACAAAGAATACTTGGACGAGATGCTTGCAGCTGCTACATGCTATCACCAAAAACTAGCTCCTGGCATATTCAATACTCCTTTTTCTCTGTCACATTAAGACAGCAGCTCCCCATCCTCTTCCTTGGCAATAAATTAAAGTTACAGTCTCCTTTTTCCAGGGTACCTTGTTCCTGTTGTTCGAGATGGTGGGCGACCTCTTCTTCCTCGCCCACGAGGTGTCACAGGTGCTCTGCCACCCTGACGAGTGCCAGGCATAGAGTCCTCCTCTTCCTCACAAGGCAGTGCTCCTGTCTGGCTAACTCTGAGTGGAGATGCTGGCTGACCAGATCCTTTCCTAGGGCTAAAGCATTTATGAGTTAACTGCTCTGAAAAGAGAAGCCAGTTCATTAGGATCCCCCATTTTCTCCATGATCTCACAACTGGTCAAGAAGTTTGCCTCATCACTGCTAAACTGGCAAGAGCTTAGGCAAAGCAATGCCTCACAAGGAAACAAACTACTCCTTTAGGAAGAACAGATGTGAAAGCAAAGACTATCTCCTAATTTCTGTTCATCCAGCCAGATCCTTCCCAGAAAATTCTTGGTTTAGGGTCTACCCTGCTTCACACTCCACCCAAGCCAGCTGTTCACTTCTGCAAAATATCTGTTCTTCCTTTCCCAAGGCTCTGCACGTACCTTAATTTTCCTAAGACGCCTCTGCCAATGGGTAAAGCAAACTCTCCGGTTTCTGTCCCACATGCTTTCCCTTTGACAGCTCCGGTTCCTCGCCCTGAGCTGCTGCTGCTGCTGTGTGTGGCAGAGTGACCACTGCTTGCTCCGCTGGATGTACGGTGGAGGCTTGAGGCCTTAGATGAGAAGGAGCTGACATCACCGAGGTCCCCCGAGGTCAGTGATGAGCCCGCTGCAGTTCTAGAGGAGGATGTGTCAGTCTCGCACTCCTGGCACTCCACTACAGGCTCCTCAGTTTCCTTACGGGAAAAAAAAAAAGAAGAAAAGAAAGAAAAAAAAAAAAAGGTTTGTAAAAGGTGATGTACTTGCTAGATGGAAGCTCTACAATCACCAGGAAAAAGCGCAGACAAATTGAGACCACATTCATGAAACTGAAGGTAGTCATGCAGGTTTGAGTCTGGACTGGTCAATGGTAGGCAGTGTGTCTCTCACTGTAGGCCTGTAGCTGCTCTAGAAGTCACATTAAGAAATCGGTCAACAGGACAGAGCTTGATTGGTATCAAATCAGTCTGGCTTTGAGTAACTCCCACCCCTGGAGAGCGCAACAAATACACGAGACACTGGCAGCCTTTGGTTACTAATAATCCAAGATCAATTTCAGACAGCTAGTCATTTGGAGTCATTAAGGTTTTATGGATATTAAAAAAATGTATCTACAAAATAGTGATATCAAAGTTGGTAGATAAATTGGAAATGGGTATATGATTGTGATTACACAACCTATGTAAGCACATTTCAGGAAACTTAATTCTCTATTTTAATGTTACAATAAGCAATTTCATGTGTAGTATCAGGTGTGAAAGTATAAGCTTTGCACTGAACTAATTTATCCTTTGATGTCATTACTCATTGTAACAACACAGCACAAGACTCTTATGGTATTTGTAGCAGAACAGGAGTAACATTTTATTACTAGCAGGCTGATATGATTACTGTGCACATCAAATCAGCATTTGCCAGCTATCTTTAGAGATTCCCTAAAAAATGTCCAATTAATGAATGGACGTACACCAACACAAGTGTACTAACAATAGGCTTGTTTATTTTTTGCTTTTAAGTTGCTTTTTGTAGACCTCTTATAGATTCTGGTCCGCAGGACTCAAAAGAGTGAGGTTAAAAATGACAGAGCTGCAAAACAGATTGAACTACCTTACCTAGTTCAATTTTACAGGCAGAAGTGATTTTTGCTTACTAATAGAATTTCTGCCCATTCTGAAATCTCTCTATTCTGACAAAACCCCAAGAAATTTAAACAGTCAGACGTACATAGTAAAGTCCTTTGTTCAGTTTTTTGGGAAGAAAAAAAAAAGTCAGCGTCTTCAGAATACAGTAAGGGTCATGAAATACACCAGCAACAAATATACAGCTTTCACAATGCACTAAATGGTCTACGTGTTTGCTCACGAAGAAAAGTCTGTCATCACAGCACGCTGACTTGTTCGCTCAACTCATTTTCTGCAGCCACAACACATTCTCACTTTAATTAATTTTATTTTTCAACCAATGTATCATTACATTTAGCCCTCAAAACAGAAACTTACCTCAACTACCTTTCGTTCCACCTCTGCATCATTTACGTAATAAACATCTGTTATGACACGCGTAACAACAGTGCGCACTTCTCGAATAGTTCGCATGTGGCGATGCTGAACTCGGCCTTTGGGTGGGTGAAGAAGGTTGAACTCCTCCTCTCCCTGTAATAAACAGGACAAATTAAAAACAAAACAGATGACGAAAAGCAAATAATTTCTGGGTAGAGCTATCTCTGCAGTACAGTTTCTTCACACAATATTCAAGTACTGGCATAAGGAACCTTTCAGCATCTTGTTACAAATTAGATTCAACACCACAACAGACCCTAAACAAGGGAGAACTGAACACATTCTGCTGAGTTGCTGACAGGTAGAGGAAGGGAAATCACAGCAGTCCAAGGAGGAAACAGCAAACTTGCTTAGCATGGCTTCTGATACTCTTCCATTCAGTGGACGCTCAGACATATCACATCAACATTGCACTGCATATTTCTGGCCCTGTTAATCTCCTGTTTCCCTAATCTCCTATTAGAAGACACACTATTCTTAACTCAAGTTTTAAAAAAAAAAACCAAAAAAACCATTTTTCTAGTCTTTGTGTTCACAAGAAAATATACAAGCTGTAACTGCAAAGCAGTGATTTTTCTTGAGTCTGCAATACTTCCTGAAATACTAATTCAAGGTTACTCATCCTGTTAGAACATTTTTCTGGAGGAGCTCTCCCTTCCTGTGTTTATCCATTAACATTGGACGGAGGGGCAGAACAAGCTGTCAGAAATTGGTTGGTGCAAAACAGAAGGCATCAAACCCTTAATTCAAAATTTCATGCAACTCCCAGCTCCATCCAACAAAAAGTGGAAATTATTTTACAGTGTTAACTGCATCTGGACACACACAAAAAACCCCCCCCAAACCAACCAACCAAAACTTGTCATATCTTTTCCAGAAAATAAATACGGAGACATTTACTTCCCAAACTTATGTTGCCCACTGAGTATTGCTACCTTAGCAGTTGTGCACAGTTGATACAGGAAAGCTTGCAACATTAACATCTGAAAGTGATCTTTTGGCTTTTTTTGACAGAGAACCTACTGTTAAGTGAATTTACTGGCTCAAGGGGTACCTCACTGTTCTAAAGCAGTAAAATTAAATACAGGCAGCCTTCATCCCACCTGACTGTGCAGAGAGTCCGTGTCCTCTCCAGAGGCGTTCACAAGCTTTTCCCCACTCTCCTCAGTTTGGACGTTTGCATCTTGTCGCCCAGGTCTTTGCCCAGACATACTGGTTCCCACCTCCACCTGCCTACAGGTTTCTTCTGACGTTTGTGTTGCTGTTGTAACAGTTGTTGGGGTAAAAAGACAGTCTGCTGTAGTTTGAGTCCCTTTATTCTTGGTGTTTGCCCACCTCTCTCGGCTTTCATCAATTTTAACAGCCTTACTTGGTTTCTTCTGCATTCTTCTCCCTTCTTCTGTCTGAGTGCTTACAGTACCAGTCTCCACAGACTCCCCATCCTCTGCACCAGAAGGTTGTTGATGGCAGTCCTGCTGCATCCTCTGAGGAATTAGGACCTGTCCGCCACTGTCATCTGCCTTGTGTTGCTGGTACTGCCAATGACCGGGATTTTTATCTAATTCAACGTCGTCTTGCGTGCCAGGAAAACTGAAAAGATTCCCCCTGCAAACCAGTTATATACAGATCAAAATTATTGATTAAGAAAGCAAGACAGCCAATATGCTGCCACTGAAGTGAAAACACTATAAAAAAAACCCTGGCAGTCATTCAATTGCTTCTTAAGATTGCACAGAACTCGGTAAGTCTCAAATTATAAAATAACCTTTCAACATCTCTCAACTGTGTCACATGGTAGCAAGAAGAATGGGGGACACCTGTAGAGAACTAGGTGCTTTTCCAAACACTAATAAAGCAATCTATACTCCACACGTCAGGCACCGGCTATGTAACATGCTTCTGGAAGTCATGCCGTCTTTAGGTTGCTACAGGCTGCTTCAGCACTTCATTGGCTTGAAACTGGTAATCACACCTAGCGAGAAGAGGCAGGACCATCAACACAAATGCTGTCTAACGTTTTTATTAGAATTTGTCTGCCCTGTCAAAAGCGTTATCAGGTACTACATGGGGCTGTATACTGAGCCTTACTAGAAGTATACATTTGGCTTCCCTTGTGTACTTGAGGACTTTGAGGAGTGACCGTCTTCCGTTCTGTCTGTGTATCGCCCAGCACTGGAACTCCCTATTCACTAGTCTTTAGTATAACTGTTCAATGCTCTTGAAATATAGGTTACTTTTTCTCCACAGACCAAGACCTCACTGCCCCGTCAAAAGATAGAATGGAAAACACTGAAGAAGCAGATTTCTACACCCGGTTCTCCAGCCAGCACCCTTATCACCGTAAGATATGCAGCAGTACAGTCCTTTTCAAAGCAACCAGAAACAGCAAAAATTGATGGACTTGGAAGGGAGACAATAGCAGAAACAACAACAAACACAATAGGTCAGAAGATCTTGGAACAGGAGAAAGAAAAGGTATTTCAACAGCTGTAAGTATGATCTCTCAAGCCCCAGATTTTACCGAAGCGTATTAGCCAGCTGGAATCACACTGCTGCTCAGTCAAAAAGGTAAGTCTGATTACCATGTGAGATACAAACATACAGTACTTATTATACTTACCCCATTGTCCCCAACCTTCTAAGTCACCCAAAGACAATGACTTAGTGCAATTTCTTTGATGTAGAAAATGCACATGTGCATATAAATCCAACCAGGACTGGCAGGCAAAGACTGTGAGGAGTTACCTAAACGGAGAAGTGGAAAGACCATGACCTCTGGCCTCATCCTCTCGACGAACTTCACAGACACGACTAAACACAGATGATGCTTTCTGGGAGCTAGCAGTGCAGATTTAAAACAAACAAACAAACAAACAAAAAAGCATCAGGGAGTGAGAAAATCCCTTATACAGAAAAACAAGAGTTGTCTAGTCCCTTGGGAAAGCAACAACTGGTATTGAGCTTGTTGACCTATACAGCCACAGAATGAGTGAGATGGCCAGTCTCAAAGGTCAAGAAAAAAGCTGCAATTGCATAAGCATTTCTGTCATTGCTCCAGACACCCTAACAGCCAAGAGCAATGTAATAATTCCAGAAAATGTAGTGCGGAAAACTGCAGTGCCAGCAGGAGTTTCACCACCTACTACTTCTGGTACCCACCAGAGGACACAATTAGACCATTCACGGCTTACTTCTCAGGATTTTCATGACACTGCAAAAATACTGGGAGTCACAGTCATAAAGCAGACCCTGAGAGATCAAGTTCAACCTATACCTAGAAAGGCAACCCATCCTCCACCAGTGAGGAATGACTGCCACTCATCCTCAGCACTGAGGTATGATTACCATCCAGCATGCAAACCTGTGACAGGAGATACTGAGTTTATTTCAAAGGTCTCTCACTCCTTTAAATCATTATACTTCACTCAGATGACTACCGGTCACTTTCTTCTGACTCAGATTCTTATTAGTACTTACAACCCATACTCCCCAAAAGCTAAAATCAAGCAATGCTAGGCATTAAATGTGAGATCAGATAGATACATACAAATCAAAAGACCAAGGGAGTAACTTCTATTTTGGTCAACACGTTAAACCGTGATTTCAGTATATCAGTGACGTGGTTATGTTTCTATCAGCTTCATATCAAAAAGAGAATTCTCTTTCAGAAGTCCTCAGAGATTCTTTGCAGAAAATTGCACAATAAGGGAAGAAAGCAGAAAGCCATGTATTTGAAATTTAAGAGGTGGACAGGGCAGACTTGTATTTCAGGCTACACAAGACATGAATTTCTGCTTTGACTACAATCAGGAGGCGGCAAAATGCTGATACTAGTAGGAAGCACAAAGCCCGTAGTGAAAGAGCAGGTGGGGCACCCACCTTGCCTATGTACTTAAAACCTGCTGCGAGAGCTAAAGAGTTAATGTTGTAGCTACTACTAAAAGCATTCCCTGCTTGTGTCTCATTTTTTTTTCCCCTGCTGCTGGTAACGAGTGGAAAAAGGACCTACCCACACCTTTGTATTAACTCTGCGCAGCAACAAGCCCAGTTACCTGGCAGCAGCTCCAGCAGCGGCAGAGGATCCATCTTTCCTGTCACTGCCTGTAGGCTCTGAAACAAGAAGGAAGGGAAGGATGATTTCGGTGTCACCTGAACAGACTCTCCTGCCTCCCTTCCCAGCCCCCCCCACTCAGCAAAGAGAGAGGTTGAGTAACGCTGGGCAAAGGGTGCCCAGGCCTCCCTGCCCAACATCTCATCACAGACCTGAGTTTCTACAAGTTTTAGACTATTAGACTGAACGTCACTGTTCTGATTAAAATGCTGTCAAACTTTTTTGGCCAGATTATACTTTTAAAATCTTTTCCCTCCCAATATAATCAAACTCCACTTCCTGTCCTGTGATGTTGCTACTATACAACACGTTTTTCAGTCTGCTGGAAATAACTTTCCTCACAACAGAGGCCTCTCCTCTCGCTCCATCCTTGCTTAGAGCATTGCAGAAACAGAGAAACAAATTTGAGTGACACTGCCCAAAAACAAAAATGAGAAAAATTACAGATACTCAGAGACTGTCTCGGGGAATGCCACAAAGAGGTTCTGAGTTAGGGCTGAGATCTAGTAGGATTTGTAAGTTTCGAGGTTTCATCCTCTTACTTTCCAAGCTGAATGGCAGGGATTCCTCGCTCCCATCATTCACAGGAGTAACAAGGTTCATTCGCAGAGAGAGTTTTGCATCGGCCTCAGGAACCACACGAGAATCTCCTTTCTCACACACTTCTGACACATCGGCTGATACCATTGCACTTTCCACGGTGACATTGTTGGTCCCCATTGTGCCTTCTGCTGTCACATCACTAGTTGCTATAGTGCTGTCTGGGCAACTATCATCCACTGAAAATAGGAAAACAAAAGTAGTAAGCCAAAAAGTAGCTACAGTCATTCACACTGTTGGGGTTCAGGTCCCAGTTCTGTTCTGAAGATGCTTCCCTGCACGCATTGTTAGTAATAATGCAGTAGTGGAAATTCCTATCTAGAGTTCTCAAGCATGAAAGCTCTGTAGCACAGGTATCATCCTAGTACTTCACTATTACCCAAGCAGAAATACACACTTCCTTTCATCCAGCAAATGCAGGGTGTTGTTTTGTGAACCCAGCAGAGAAAGTCCTCCTAAAAGGTGATGAATACTAGGAACAATCTTCTTTTAGTCTAAGCTCTTCCAGTACTAGGAGGGGTCTTTTGCATTCTTTAATGGATTTCTATGTGGGAACGCAATGAGTGCAAGGAAGACACATTCCATACCACCCCATACTCAGGGAGCAAACACCTTCACTAGAGACCGAGGACAGAACATAACAAGGAAAGCGTGGAGAAGGGATGAGACCTCCCCATAGAACAGCAATTTTTTTTTTTTTTTTGCCAAGGTAGGTTTGAGTTATCCCATCAGATCCTGCACCAAGAATCAACAGCTTCCGAACAGGCTTTCACTGCAGAACGGAACCATTTGGGTCAAACTCACCAATTGGTGTGCTGTGCCTTCTGGGTCCCATTTTAAGCTGGCCAACAAGAGGTGGCGTTATGCTGGTCAAGGGCTGAATGACATCACCCTCCTTCGGCAAAGTAAAATGAAATGGTGTTCCTAAAAGACACACAGCGCCAGGATTAGTAATTTCAGGGGACGACTTTGGTCCAAATACCAAAAGCACAGGTTCACTGCGCTGTGGAAATGGGGAAAAGCACAACCCTGGTGCTGTCCTGTACAAAACCCCTGAATAGTTACTGGTTTTAGGACAGCTGCTCTACCTGATCTTCCTCACATTTTGCGTGGAAAATCTCTCTCGGTGAAAATCTGGGCTGTGGTCAACTTAATGCAACTGTCCCCAGGTGCTAGATAAAAGTGAGACTAAATAACCCAACACAAATAGGACTTTTACAGAATGCAGCTTTGCTTCAGAAATGCTCAGGATTTTCCACAGAAAAGGGAGATGAGGCCAGAAACAGAAATGAAGGTTAGGACAGAAGTGAACTGGCAGAGCTATGTGTTGCCTGAATTAATAACCTGAAACTTTCACAGAATGATGCTTTATCATCAAACAGCCTTGGATAAAAGGTCAGCAGTTACACTTCAGATAGCGCCTATGAGCCTGAACAATTAGTAGCAGTCAAATAAGGGTTACACAATGACAGCAGAAACTTGCCTTGAGAGTAAGCTTAAGAGAAATAACAGATACTGCAGTTTCATAACCAGCTGCAGGCTGCCACCAGAAGGGCTGGCCCCATCCTCCTGTCCTCCCCAATACTTCTGCCCCTTCTCGTGCAGGCTCCAGCACAAAGGGTCTGCAGGGTCTGCAGGCTGAGGTAGCCTATCCCATCAGGGAAACCACACCTTGGTGGATTTACCATGTGTGGATCTTGCAGGATTTAACAGATAAAATACATTAAAAACCTCGTAAAATGCTCCCTCTTTTTGCCTCACCCCATGCCATTTATTTGCAAACCTTCAACATCACATATCAGTAATTTGCAGGCTGCATTGTTTCCAAATTGCATAGAAGTATTTAGCAAAACTAACAGAATAACCCTTTCCTCCCCACACTGAGGTCAAAATAGGTTTTCATCATCTTTGTGACTATCCTTCCTTTTTCCTAAAACTGTATTTGTTATTTGGATTTCATTCAAGATATTACTCGAATAATGCAAGTCACAAGTTACGTAACTCCTGAATTTTAAGAAGCATGTATTAAAAAAACCCCAAAACTAAATAGTATTGGAAAATTGTTAGTTAAGGTCATGAGAACACAAATTCAAGTTACTTACATTCAAGAGCTAGCACTACATATTCAGATACAACTTTTAGTTATAGCCAGATGCAGTGCATCATTCTTCAGTTACACAAGATGCTGACATATGATTTACACAACTATCTTGTGGCAAAAGAAGCCATAAACACATGACAAAGACATAATCCCCTCACAGAAAAAAAAAACCACTAGTGAAAAGCCATCTATTGTCCATTTGAAAACCATCACCTGTCCT